ATATATAAAGTCAATAGTCCAATCAGTGAAACAATATAGAAGGTAAATAGAAGAGAAAAAAAAGCAGATTAAAGATACAATATACAAGATACGAGATATGAGATACAAAATAACATACAAATACTAGATACTAGATACTAGATACTAGATACTAGATACAAGATACTAGATACTAGATACTAGATACTAGATACTAGATACTAGATACTAGATACTAGATACTAGATACTAGATACTAGATACTAGATACTAGATACTAGATACTAGATACTAGTTACTAGATACTAGATACTAGATACTAGATACTAGATGCTAGATACTAGATACTAGATACTAGATACTAGATACTAGATACTTTATAAAGAGAGATTTGGCTGGAAAATAGATAGGATAAATGGGATATGGCATAACATATGCTTAAATAGACTCTTAGACTTAGATATTATATGCTTTAGACAAACCACTCAACGCAGCTCAAATTGTGGTGCAGTAAGGCAAAGAGTCTGCACTTGACTTATCTGCAGTTGCTATTTAAGTTTTTGACATTTATGTTGCGATTTTAACCTGTGCTGGCCACTTCGAGTGCTCTGCATGCTCTGTGGGTCTGTTGGTTAGCTCGGTTTCGGTCTCCAGTTGTTTTCGTGGCCTCGCGTCTAAGCGTATGCAACAGCACTCGAGGCTTTCACTGAGGCTGTTGCCTTGACGAAACAAGCATCCTAACGAGCTGTGCTCATCATCGGGGCTTACACATTGCCCAGCGGTGCTGAAAAACTTACAGGCCGCAAGCCAAAGTGGGTAACAGAGCGCATCAACTGCCCTGCCCTGCCCCGGCCCACACTGTCCCGCCTCCTTTGCGGCTTATCCAGTTGCTGTTGCAGCTGCTGTTGCCGCTGGCATCATCTTGAGCGCATTTTGTCGCGCAAATTGCATGCAAATTCGTGTGATGTTCAAGTGGCTGTTAAGACGAAGATGATGATCCGGCCACGTGTCTTAATGATGCTTACAGCTCACACAAAATGCAACAAGGCGACACTTAATTATGAAAAAGGACGACTCAAGTGTCGCTGCACGGATTACGTATACGCCCTCCTCCACCTCCATAGCCCCTCAAGCACCGTCCCATCCCATTCACCACATTTAATGGCATATTTACGACCCTGGCTAATCCAGCTCGCTTAGCGCATTAAATCAACTCCAAAATGGCCATAAAATTGCTCTCGTTCTGCCATGAGAAAACATTTCAAAAATTGACAATTTATGGCCAAAAAGAGAAAGGCAACAGGGCTAACAAGAACAAAGAAAAGCAAAACAAAAATATAATAAAAAGAGCCACCAAAAAAGAAAGGATTGGACATAATTTGGACAGTTAAACGAAGCTCAGATGCTCTAATTGTGTTGAAAAATCAAAATCAAAATAATATTTTACTTAATCTTCAGAGATACACATTTACTGTTACTATAATTTTTTCCAATTTTTGTAGACATTACAGCTCAACAAAAATTTTGTTAAATTTATATTTGAATTTGCAGGAGTATTTTTTCTTCTTTGATAAGAAAATAATTTTTTTTTTTTAATTTTTTTTGTTTTGATTATTATTATAAATTACACATTTACTCTACAATATTTAAACAAAATATTCTAAAATTTATCCATTTTAAACTGTAATTAGTATTGCAGTTTTTTTTTTTTCTAAATATAATGTTCGTTAATTTACTGTAATCTCAATACCAAATGGAAAAATTATTATAATCATTGTAACATTTAAGAAACATTAAATATATATTTATTGCTTAAAATATATCAAAATATTGCTTGAAAAAATGTAATTTTAAATGGCTTTTAAAATTTGTATTTTATACCTTAGTTATTACATGAAAATATGAAAATAATAAATTTAATACCTTAGTTATTACATGAAAATAATAAATAATTATAAAAAAAATTATTGTTATAAATAAGTATGAGTTTAAAATATTTTAATACTTTATTTTCAATCGGTTTTTAACTTCCATAGCTAATCAAAAATAAGGTTTATTTACAAAATTTGTACTAAAATATTTTCTTTTTTTTTTAAGGCAGCTGTTTATTCTTTAACCTTTGGGTTTAAATATAAATTTCTATTCCAACAATTATTATCGAAATATAAAATATCTTATTTCTTAGACTTTTATATGTTTTCAAATTTATTTCCATACTTCGATTTCACAAAGCTGTGCAGCACTCGAAAAGCAGTTTGAGTATCAAACTACAAAATAAAAAAGAATATAAAACGTCTGTTCTGTGTGCAGATTTATTTGGCGTTAGATTTTGATTGTTGTTTTTTGTTTGTTGTGGCATTTGCAACATGCGCTGCACTCGCATGTTGCAGGCAACAAACAGGCACTTTTACATATGGCCATTGTTATGATTTATGTGGCAAAAATATTTCAGGCGCGCTTCCTGTAAATGTTTTTGTTGCCCCTTCTTTCATGCCGCACACACTTTTGTGCAGAGGCGCAGGGGAAGGGCGCGAGCAGGGAAGGAGTTCGAGTGGGGCCTTT